ATTTATTTAGTCATTTAGCAGACGCTTTTATCCAACAATATATCCAGCAACAATATATAAGTGCAAATGACAAGTCTCGGTTAGCCTAACGCAGTACACGTAGCAAGGTGTGTATATAATATATATATAAATATTATACACACACACACATATACACACACACGCACAAAGAAAAACAAGTAGATAGAATAGAAAAAATAGAAAGCTAGTGTTTGTTAGTTTTTTTTTATTTTTTATAAAAAATAAAACAAAAAAGAAGATAAATATAGATAAAGTAGAATTAAAATAGAATAGAAAGTGCTAGAGTTAGAGGGTCAAATAAAGGATATGTTTGTCCTGTTGTATTTTTGTATTTATTTGTCCTATTATTTGTCATTATTTTCTTGGTTCTTTTTTTGTTTTTTACTGTCAAAAAAAGTTGTTACCAATATGCTTGGGAACCTTTTTCTTACATTCGTTTACTCTATTAGTTTTTGCTGTGATATCAAAATTGGTGCTGATAATTATGAAATTTGGTATCTAAATTGTTGATATTGTAACAACATTATTTCAAGCAAGTACGCACAAAATCAATCAATATTATTGTGAAATAAAAATACTTTAAAAAAATAATTTGGTCAAAATAATTATTAGAATTTGGCCAAAAGAAATGATCTTGGAAGATATCTTTCGAAGAAGCTTTGCAGCTACAGTACAGTATGATACCTTCAAATATGCCTATATCTGAGGCTCACTAGATTTTGAAACAGAGCTTTTGTTTCAATCTTTTCACCATAGAGGAATGAAGCAATGCAGTCTGGAAATGCATTTACACTGTAAATCCACACATGTGTTTCATGTCATTGAATTACAATAGTGTCATATCTCCACAGCAAACCAAACACACACTAATCTCACTGCTCTTTACACTTGGCCATCCTTGCTGTGAGGTTTTAGTTCTTCTGGTCGCTCCACACCTCATTCTTTCACATACAATGGTGTTCTACAGTCCAGGGCAATTAAGACACTAGTTATCCAGCAACCCCGTGTGGATAGATTGTATAGGCTCTACATCGTATTGCATTGTCTTTCTGCCCCCTACCCTCATTTGCAGGCCATGTTATACTTGATGTATTTGCTTCTCTATAACTCTGAGCTGCATGCCTCTTCAAGAGCCACAATCTCCTGCCTGCTATAGGCTCGTTGTTTGTCATCTTTTATAACTCTGTTGGGCTTATTGTGTGTGAAAATGTCACATTTGTCAGGCTTGCGTTGACGGCATGACACGGCTGTGGAATGATCGAAGTCTCATTCTCGTTAAACACAGCAATGCACTAGCAGTGTGTTTGAAGGATGTGGCTTTTGTTTAGACAGTCTTTTGTTGTTTGGGATTTCTTTATTGGTAGAAATAAAAAGCATGCTGTAAATTTGTTGCTACCAAAGATAAATAATACAGTTTGATGCACCTGCTGCAAAGTACAAACAATTGTGATTTCCAGCCTTTTTTCAACTCATCTTTAATGTGGTCACTTTAATAAAATGGGTTGCTGACTTGTAAAGGTGAAACGTGCAACATCAAACAGAACTGCAATAAGGTGAAACGTGCAACATCAAACAGAACTGCAATAATACTAATACAAACAAATGGAAGTTCACAGAGGCCATGCAGTATTATTAGTTGTCTGTCTTATTGTTTCCTGATATAACTTAAGGAAAAAAGTCGATATAACTTACTTTCTCTGAATAACTGTAAAAATATGTCATGATTACAAGAAAACAAGACAAAAAACAATAATACATGGCTTCTGTGGGTTTTCATTTTAACAAACCCCTAACCCTAAATTTTATGTAAAACAAAATATATTATGTATATAAAT